GGGGGTAAGGGAGGCTTTTTTTTAGTTCTTTGATAAAGTAGGTGGGTGGGGCTATTACCCAAGCTTATCAGTGTGCCATATTCTCCAAGACAAGTTCTATTTCTTTGAGATCAGTGCTGTGACAAGTAAACGGAGGGAGAGGAGGGTGGGAGAAGATGGGAGTCACAGGTGTTTAGTTGTTGCTGTTGTTGGTGTTGGTGGGTGGTGGTGGTGGTATTTGTGGTGTTGGTGGTGTTATTGTTGTTGTTGAGTTTGTTTGTTTGTTTGTTGTTTGATTGTTTGTTTATTTTTTGTTGCTGTTGGGTACTATTGCTTTTATGATCGCGATATGTATCACTCAGATTCTAAAACACTGTCCTCTTAGGTGCAAAGGGTTACGAAATTTACCCGCAAGTGAGAAGTTCGGGGTTTGAACCTGTATCACGTCCTAGAAAATTACTGTTTTTCCTATCCCATCGAGGAATCCTTTCCCCTATACCCGGTGCCCTGGGGGTGGAATCAAACTTTGCTCTGTCTCATTGGTCTTGACCCCGCGGTTTTATGCAACAACAAAAATTATCTGAAATTATGCAAACTGCGCCACAAAAAAAATGTGAAATTATGCGATTCTGTTAATTTTAACAAAGAACGATAAAGGAAAATAATCAGAAATTATGCAAGAAATCATCTAATTTTTGTTAAATTATGCGGGGTGCATAAAACCGCGGGGACAGAATATTCTATGGAAAGAAAAGTCACAAACAAGACCTTTCATCAGAGAAAACAGTGTCGTCTGTTTGGGCACTTTTTTGATGTCCCACGCAGGAGACCCAAGTTCGATCTCCGAGTAGGGGCAATTTTTTTGTTCGAGTATCTCGCGGTCTTTCTGCTGGGATGATGTATACCTTTCAGTCAGCCTGGGTTGGTCTTGACAGGTATTAGTATGGTCTGAAGCCTGCCTCCTTAATGATTTTAATTTTGTCGATGGGGATGCAAAAACATCTACTTATTTTTTTTTATGTAAAACTTTCTCGACACTCAATACAAACAAACAAATGTGAGGTGTGCTGACAAAATGAGTTTCTTCTCGGATTTCCGCCTTATGGAAATTGATGCATCAACTTGATAGGTGAAGTTTGTACAATTTGTGAGCATGGAATAGTAAAAGACACAGTAAACTTGAACAAAATGGCATCAGTTGAAAATTTATAAACCTGACCCCAGTGTCGATTTTCAGCCGATATCTCCATTTCAGCACATCAAACAAATGTCTCGTGACCTGTCTGCGGAGAGTAGGGGCCAGTCATTTTACTTGTATTCTATGTTGTTTCAGTTTTGTAAGAGCTGTAGTGTGGTCTTTGTTTGTTTGTATGCATGTGAGTGTATATGTGTGTGTTTGTGTGTGTGTGTATGTGTGTGTGTTTATATATGTTGTTTATTTGTTTGAGTGCTTATTGTTTGTTTGTGTGTGTTTATATCTGTGGGGGGGGGTTGTTTGTTTGTTTGTTTTTAAGTGATGCTCTTTAAATGTCTCAGATTCTTTACGATTCACACTTATGTAAAGCCTAATATTTTGAATAATTGCACAATGGACATAATGATGAAAGATGATGAGTAATATGGTGAGTATCTTATTTATTATTGCTCGATGTGCTTTGAAAGAGTGGATAAATGTGTTGGTGCTAACAAATTTTTATTCCGATTATGCTTTTTGAATACATAATTATCATTGTATTTTGGAATAGAAAATGATATACGAACCTTTATCTACCCCTGATAGAACCGGATATTTGGTTGTCCGACACCCTCCTACGCATTCGTTAAACCCATACCATACCTTTTGTCTGTTTCATCACCCAAGCCGATGGGTATGGGTGGTTGGTGGTTGCTCTAGTGTGGTTTGCTCTTTCTTTCCTATCAATCAAACCTCAATCGTCTTTATCTCTCCTTCTTCTCTTCCTTCGAACGCTACTCTCTAGTCATCATCCAGTGCCACATCTACGACAGACTTTGGCGATCATGGTTCTCCGTTCATTCCTTTGCTCGGATGCTCTCAAAAAAGCTACGTTTCCATTATCTTTACTCTCTAGTAACACCTCTAATTCTGATCTTCTTATACCTCCACTCACTGATATGACCTATATGTGTGTTGCAAGTGCCGGAAAACTTACTAAGTGGGTGGTTGGCGGATGCTCTGGTGTGGTTTGCTCCTTCTTTCCTACAAACATCTGCTGTCATCCTGATCTCTCCTCCTTTTTGTGTTTGTTCCTCTCTTCTTGTAACACCTCTAATCTACGGCACTTATTTGACCGTATTGTGTTGCAAGTGCCGAAAAACGCTTACTTAAACAAAACTTTCTAGTACTAAAACGAAAAAAAACAACCGAAAAGTAAACTAATGGCTTCAGCAAGTCAACCTCACAAAGAAGTCACATTTAGGTCCGATTTGACATTGTCCTTATGCATCATGTACACACTAAAAGTATGGGTTCGTATTTCATCCCCTGCTCCTTCTGTCTATCCATAACAAAATTATACAAAATGTATAACTCTGAGTCATCTGTCCATCCATACAAAAGTATAACTCTGGGCCATCAGTTTATCCTTATACAAAATGTATTACTCTGGGCCATCTGTCTATCAATCCATACAAAAGGTATAACGCTGAGCCATCTGTCCTTCCATAGTATACAAAATGTATAACTCTGAGTCATCTGTCCATCCATACAAAAGTATAACTCTAGGCCATCAGTCTATCCTTATACAAAATGTATAAATCTATCTGTCCATCCATATACAAAAGGTATAACTCTGGGCCATCTGTCTACCAATCCATACAAAATGTATAACGCTGAGCCATCTGTCCTTCCATAGTATACAAAATGTATAACTCTGAGGGTAAAATAGTAACAGTTGTTTCACAGATCCCAGGGCCAGAAGGTTCTATCTCACGGTCCCGTCTATGTAGCTCTATCAATCCTCGCATTGTCTATTCGGAGACGACCCCAACGGAAATAGACCAATGAAAATGCTTTGTGCCTCTAGACCAAGTAAAACAAATCTACCCCCCCCCCCCCTGTTTTAACCCATAATTTGATATTTTGCTTTTAAGTTTGAAATTTTCTTGAAAATAATTGATTAGCAAATATTTTAGTGGCTATAAGTGTGATCTGCAGCAAATAATACGCAGTTTGACCCCCCCCCCCCCCCCCCCACCAAAGCAGTGCATCTGTGTGCGGGAGTACGTCTCTGAATAGTTCCTGGGTGCTCGCCGGGGACGTCTCCGAATAGTGTGTGCCATCAATCCTCAGTTATTCCACTCTGACATTCCACAGGGAGAAGACTATATAACTTTCTGCCATTCGCCTTAGTCAAAAATGGCTCATTCTGTATTACGAATATATGTATTGTATGTGTGTGTACATATGTGTGTGTGTGAGAGAGAGGGAGAGAGAGCTCAGAGAGAGAGGGAGAGAGAGAGAGAGAGAGAGAGAGAGAGAGAGAGAGAGAGAGAGAGAGAGAGAGAGAGAGAGAGAGCGTGTGTGTGTGTGTGTGTTTGTGTGTGCGATCAAAAAGATATAATGTAAACACATACACATCTATGGGTACAGAGACATAGAGGGGTAAAATAAATTATATTGAAGTGTTTGTGGGTATTTTTGTACACCTACACAAACACACACAAGCACACACGAACAAACAAACACACACACACACACATACACGCATTTGTGCGTATGCGTGTGAGTGCCAGTATAATAGTCTTATGTTTAGCATTTAACTGTTCTAAAATTTGTGACTAAAAATGATATCATTGTATTCTTTTTCTTTTTGGTCCAAGTTTATTGTTCTCACTACTAGGCTTTTTAAAAAATTAACTTTTAACTCTTAATCTTAGTACATGGAAGGCTGGAGTCAATTTTGTCATCCACGCTTCCAGCATCAAAAACATCCTTATAAAAGCTCCTATCCTATTTAACTTATTATAGTATCAAATAAACGCTAAACTGATAAGAAAAGAATGACCCAAGCAGTAAACATCATCATCATCATTGTCTTCCTCAGCCTGCAGCAGGGTATAGGCCACGGGCTATACGTACTTATACTATCTCTGACCGTCTAGGCCACGGGCAAACATTCTCCACCTTTCTCTATCCTGGGCTAATCTCTCGATGTTATGCAATATCTTCCCACTTTTCTGTACATCAATTTCTTCTCCTGGTTCTACGCCGTCTTCCCCTTTGTCTTTTTTTTTACCCTGTGGATTCCAACATAACAATTTCTTAAGCAGTAAACATACAGTTATAGAAACGATGAGTTTGCTCAGGTTTAATGGGTTTTTTGTTCTGACCGTAAACTGTCACGGTAGTCACCGTATTGTACCGTGTGTGTGTATACTAACATTACATAAACCACCGAGTGATGCTGAGAGCTGGATGGACTGGCAGGCCATGTACCAAGAGATAAAGTACGAGCTAGCCTACCATCATAAGACTGCTGACTACTTTGTTATAATTTCTCCTGTTGCATACATTATTGTCTTGTATCCTGTTACAGGAAAACTGGTTGAAGTTGAAGAAGAAAATAAAAATGTAATTATTACTTGATCAAAATAGTTTGTTGTTTTTTTTCTGTATGAGTGAATGAGAATTGTTTTTTGTTTTGTTTTGTTTTTTGGGGGTTTTTTTGTTGGGGTTGTTTTTTTTTGGTATGCAGGTGATTTTATTAAGCTCCCATTAACAAGATTCTAGACCGTTTAGGAAGCGGACTTCCAGCCATGCCTGTATCATCCTGACCAACTCGGGCTGAGAGGGATACGTACAAGGAGTTTAGAACTTTTAATCTCCTTGGATACGTACAATGTCCCAGCACAAAGACAGAGATACAAATCACTACCTCAGAATTACACAGTTCTATCTGCTCAGTACCTAGTTTTGAGAAATTTTACACTAAAGATTTTTAGTTTCACAACATGCCATGCTTTCTTCAAAGTAATTTTTGGAATATCTTGAAAACGACTCCAAATAATCTTACGATTTTGATCGAGCAGATGGAGCATTTGGTTTCTGACCTTATGGTATTAGTAACTCAAAATGGCAAAAAAATGTAAGATATTTGTAATTCTAATTTAAGGTAGTGAAATGTACTCGATAAATATTCCTTCCCACTCGGAAACTGAACTTGGGTCCCCTGCATGCAACAGAGAGGTGTTTAACTGCTACACCAGGGACAAAGAGATGTATGACACTACCCCATTCTAGCTTCAGACGTGTAGGGGGCCTGTCGGTGTCAAGTCAGGCTGTGTGGGGTATGCCCAAGGAAAATACATTTATTTATGTTGTGTCGTGGAAAAATCAAGCACTCGTCAAAATAATTATATTGAAGATATGTGTCACGGCGAAATGGAATCAGGCTTGTCAACTTTGGGGCATGTGGAGTTATTGGTATCATCTTGAAGGTTATTTATATGTCTTGCTTTCGATGAAAAAAATATCCATTTACCTTCAATAGAGGTCGAGATATTTCTATTGAAGGAGGTAGGGTCGCCTGGTTTCAGAGGTAAAATTAGTGAGAAAATGGCCGCTAAACTTGAGTTATTTCCTTAGCTTGAGAGTCCGCGGAAACTGAAAATTTACATCTTTCATGCCTTTAATCAATGTTTTTCCATAAAATCAATACTTAAAAGTGTTTTTGAATGGTCATAAATCTACAAGGAATTGGGCCACACACAAAAAATTCGAAAAAACGTCCAAACTGGCCGAAAATGCCGATTTCTCGGATTTCATTTCTTTGACGAGCACCTGATTTCACAACGCTACATTACATATGTATTTTTCTTTGCTCCTTGGGCAATTTTTATCAACTAATAATTTATTTTTTTTACATTTTTTTTGGATGAATATCTTTTATATCCATTTAAAAAACACATTGCTGTGTGGATCTTACTGATAAACGTTGATCAAAGGCATAAAAAATTTCAATTTTCAGGTTCCAAGGACTCTCAAGCATTGAAAATCACAAAACTTTGGCAGCCATTTTCTCGATAAATTTACATCTGAAACCAGGCGACCCCCACCACCTTTATTTGCAAATAGCTCGACTTGTATTCTAGATAAATGGATTTTTTTTTTCATCCGAATAAAGACAAGTGAACAAGTTTTAAGTTGATACCAATAACTCTACATGCCCAAAAATTGACGAGAGCCTGATTCCATCACGCTGCCTCATATATTTTTTTTAACCAAAAGCAAGATAAATAAACAGGTTTTCTTTAAGATGATACCAACAACTCCAAATGCCCAAAAATTGCAAGCGCCCGATTCCACGGCGTTGTCATGCAAGCTGTTCAAAAGTACAGTGCCCAGAAAGAAAAACATTTTTAGGCAAGAAAAAAAAATGTCATTCTAATAACAAATGTACAAACAATTGTACAAACAAATGTACCTACATTATGTATTTTTTTCTGGTCTTTCCCCCCCCCCCCCCCCCCCCCCCCAACATGTAGAATTTGAATTGCAACAAAATATTTCTTGATCACATGCAACCAATACCACAGATTAAGAAACTGTAATCTAATTTTTTTTAAATTTTTTTTTTTTGGGGGGGGGTTGTAGGCCTACCTCTGAGTGGCTGGCTGATATATATATATATATATATGTATATAGGTATATACATGTATATATATTTATATCTATAACTACATTCACAGACAAACATGTACAGAAATCACTGAATTACAAGAATTTCCTCCGATGATTTTCAATGACTTTAATGCAAGTGGTATAAAAGTAAAACATACCTGTAAATCTAAGTACTAGAAACTACGAGTCCAAGATAAATCAGTTCTGGACGGTATGAATAAAGTATGATGTGCATGGGATGATTTCCATTCCATATATTATAACAAACGGTTGCATATAACAAAACTCTCCATCTAACAACAGACTGTCTTGCACAATTAATTTTTGTATCAATCTTTAAAGCTTCTCACTTAAAGCAATGACGGGGGTCATGTTACAGGCTAGAATATTCTGAAAAGGTGCCTCTTTGTCTCCATAAATTATAAATAGTTGGAATTGCTGATCACAGCCTTCAGCGTACATATTACTATTCCTTAAATATATAACTGTAAAAAAAAACATCACAGACAAATTGTGCAAATAGAGAAAAAAAATTTTTGATTCACAAGAAAACACTGACAGCATAATATAATTATCACCAATACCAAACTCAATCTGGGACGGAGAGTAAGGTAAAAAAAAACAACTGAGTAAATATCAAGAGCACTCAAAAAGACGACGTATCACAGCTTGTTGGCTTGCATGCAGTAACGGCACGAGATTTTACGCTACACAAGAACAAGTACACTGGAGAACGAACTTTACAGGAAAGAAAGCCAATCCTGAAGTTTCCATAAAGGAACTTTAAAGAAAAAAACCCAGAAGCGTCATTATTTCTAAAATGTGATACATCTGTAAACTTACTTCTTCAGAATGTTACGCAAACTTAACTTAAGGGGGATGGGGGGGGGGGGGGAGTAAAGAAATAAGAAAAGGGAAAAAAATACGGAATAGATTGTAGCGTAGTGGAATGAATGCATAAAACGGGTAGAAAAGAGCTATACACAAAAAATTGTCGAGTTTTTTCCTTCTGTCAAAAAAAACGTACATGATGTTCATGGGGAGACAGGTCCGGTGAGGTAACAGGAAAAACAACAACATCGGGATAATTGACCATATCAACAAAACAGATGTACACTGAGAACGTCCATTTGAGCACGGACAGGGACTGATAACGCAATACGCAGTAGTATAAGGAAGGGCAAAAACTTTCAAAAGAATTATTTTTTTTACACAAGTAAGCGCAGAAACCTTTTCAAAGAAACGATTTTTTTCTTAAAACACCAAAACCCTTATTAGAAAACTAACGGGATGAAAGGTAGCATTTTCAACAATATCAAACACCTTCGTCAAGTCTTCGCATAAAGACTGATTTGAACATAGTGTCTAACTTTTATGGAATAATTTCATATCAACGCTCAAATTTCTGTTTTCAGCACATAGATAAATGACCACATTTTCAAATGGGGTACAATCTTTAAAGAAAAGTGCGGACACCAAATTCACCTAAAAATACACCCACTATCTTGACTTTCATTCTAGTAACGCTGATCAAACCCCTTTGCAGGAATTTTTCGCACTCAGTCACGACGCGTCGCAATGTCACACGATAAAAATAGTACCTCTGTGGAATATCTACATAACCTTTTCCGATTGTGTTCTTATAGCAGTGTGAAAAAATCATCATCAACAGGTACATTACGACCAGTGTAAACTGGTCTTGCCTCGTACAAGTTTTGCAAAAACCGAGTAAGATAAATAGCTGTGCATTTATTTACGACAAGGGGAAAGATTTACAACCATTGTCATACCCATACCGAAAAAAAAATTTCTAGCTCATGTACTGTTTGAGGTCAAACATAGCGGGTGCAGATATATAGGGTGCTGGGTCATGGTCTCAAGTGGGCTGATGGCGGGCCCACGGTGGGCTGATGGCGGGCCCATATTGGCCTGGTGCGGGCAGATGGTGGGCCCACGATGGGCTGATGACAGGCCGATGATGGGCTGATTGCGGACCCACAGTGGCCCAGAGGCGGGCCCATGCTGGGACAGTGGGCCAATTGCAAGAGAGAAGTTTAAAACAATGACCTAAGATGAGAAGAGAACGGATGCTCGATGAGATGGGGAAATATCCAGCCGAGTGGAAAGGCCCACGACACTATCTACTACACCGACAGCTATGGTTAATGGTGCTCTCAGTGTCCATGTGACTGATTCTGGCGCTAACGATAACATAGTCATTTTCCTTTTCTCGAACGCGTTGCGTTCACTTCCTTGAACTCGTTCATTGTTCATAGTGAGCACCTACAAGGCAAACAGTAGAGAGATCTGAGCTTACTTCTTCTATCCCCTGTGCAGGTTCCATCTGAGCTGCAACATTCATGTCTTTTCACTGCTCTTTACAGACTTACGAAGCACACAAGCTTTCGATTTTCATCCCAAGGGTCACATTAGCACATTTATAGAAAAATGTTTTCAATCATTGGAATGAAAAAAACGAAACAAAAAACTAATATAATACAAAACTTTCGCAATTAAGTTTGGCAAGTCTGATAAAAATCATAAATATATCATTACAGTGCTGAAAATTCTCTAACATAATTCTGAACAAAAACAATGTGTACAAAGTAACTACAAGTTAAAAATCAAATTCCTAGCGCCTTCAAAAAAACCCTCAGAATCACAGCTCACCCGGCAGAGGTCAGGTGAGAGGAGAGAAGAGTTCAAAGGTCACTAGTATCACATTATCTGGGGCTCAGTACATCAGCAACAAGTCGAGGCTAGTTGAGTCATACGTAACTCAACGCAGTAACAATAGCTGTATGTCGCTAAATCAAGTAGCAAAAAAGCTCACGTTCTCACACGCAGTGAAGACAACGCAACGAAAACCAGGATCAAAACACACATCCAATGAAATAATGCTTAATTAATCTGTAAATAAATATAAATAGAAAGTACCAGGAAAATAAATAGTCGGAAGTATAGGATGTAACTATCTAGTCATCTTGTATAAGGACGAAAAAAAACAAAAAAACGATGCACAAAACGTTTGAGTAGCAAGAGATATCAGACTGGATTCTTAATCATATCAAGTGGCTGCAACGTACACTTCTTGCCGTGAAAAGGGGGGTGAAAAGAATTTTTATTTGAAAAAAAATTTGGAATGACTGACCACTCCTTTTAAAAAACTGTTGAGAAATATTGAAGGAGAAATATTCTCAATCCGTGGCACCGCCATCAACATTAGTTATCAGAAAAGAAAAGCCAAAAATCACCTCAGGGAAATCGTTGTATTAATATCGCATTAAATTGCTGCCAAGATACATTTAAAGTTTCCGTTCACAACGCATTGTGCACAAACTAGAATCTATTTCCCAGACAGTGAGGTCCTCACACACTCCAAGGTAACGATCGACTACCGGCGGCTAGCCTCCAACCTGGATCCATTCTTCCCCACACCTAGCAGTGGCTTCTTCAAAGTCTTCTGCTAGAAGGTACACACTCGGCCTGTCAAAAGAAACACAGAAAATACAGTCAAACCAGCCCTTATAACGGCCACCTGTCCAAGACAACTACTTGAACAAATTACCAATTTCCAGTCATAAACAGAATTCAATTTTATTGGGTTCTACGTTGTGTACTAACGTTTTTGATGTTATACCTTGTTTTTCTCAAAACACACGTTTCCCCACTTTTTGCTCGCACCATTTTTTCTCTACCATTTTAAAAAATGTTCCAACACAGAGACTTGAAAATTGGCATGAGAAGTTAGAGAAATGGTTCGTACTTGTAGTGGGCGGGTTAGTTTTTTACATTTTGCTAGAGAATTGTTTTTTAAAAATGTTTTAAATCAAAAAATATTTTTTAAAGATCGAATTCCATATCACCAACTTGAGAACAATTTTGGATACTTTCAAAGTATAGTATCAAAAATCAAATTAGTCAACTGCAAGCACCTATTTATTTGTGACATTTTACAAGTTACAGAATTTTTAAAAGTTAAAAACTGTAGAAAAGGTGGAGAAAAAAAATTTCTATCCAATTTTCAAGATGGCCACCGTTTCCATGGCAACGGCTTGTGTATTCGAGTGTGTCAACAGTTGAACATGAATCTTTTGTCTCGTACTTACTGAATGTGACAAAAGTTGTTTCAGTTTGTCTTTAGTTAAAAAAGATGTCCCCTAAGTATTGAGCCCCTTTAAATCTTAAAGGATGCCATACTCACTCTGAAACCTCTGTACTCACTCACTCACTCACTCACTCACTCACTCTCTCACTCACTCACTCTCATTCACTCACTCACTCCCTCACTCACTCCCTCCCTCTCTCCCTCCCACCCACCCACTCCCTCATCCACCAACCCACTCACCCACCCACTCACTCACTTACCCACCCACTCACTCACTCACTCACACACCCACTCCCTCCCTCGCTCCCCTCCTCCCTTCCTCACTGACCCACCAATTCACTGATTCACTCACCCAGTGCTCTATGTGAAGCGTGCACGGCGTGCGGGGGACCGGGCCCTCTGTCCTGGGCTGGGGGATCGGCTGCGGAAGCGACTGGGGCTAAGGGATCGGGCGATCGGGGACAGGGCTCTGACGGGGCTGGCGGCGCGGGCGGGGCTACGGGCTCGTCGTGGGGAACCCTGGACGCCAACGGAATGGAGAGAGACACGAAGAAAAAGTTTTGTTTAGTTTTAGTAAAAGAGTTTTACGGCACTTACAACCCAATAACGTCGTATAAGTGCCGAAGATTAAAGGTGTTACAAGAGAGTGACAAACTGAAAAAAAGGGATGTTTATTTTAGTAAGAGTTTTACAGCACTTGCAACAAAATAAGGTCGTGTAAGTGCCGAAGATTAGAGGTGTTACAAGAGAGTAACAAACACAAAAAAGAAGGAGAGATGAGAACAATAGATGTTTGATAGGAAAGAAGGAGCAAACCACACCAGAGCACCTGCCAACCACCCACCAAAAAGTTTTGTGTGAGCTTTGTCTGATTAGAGAGAAGCAAATCACTTCAATGAGTGTCATTTAGAGCTGGGAAAAAGGATAAGATAGACAGACAGAAACAACCAGGATAAACAAGGATAAACAGACAGAAACAACCAGGATAAACAAGGATAGACAGACAGAAACAACCAGGATAAACAAGGATAGACAGACAGAAACAACCGGGATAAACAAGGATAGACAGACAGAAACAACCGGGATAAACAAGGATAGACAGACAGAAACAACCGGGATAAACAAGGATAGACAGACAGAAACAACCGGGATAAACAAGGATAGACAGACAGAAACAACCAGGATAAACAAGGATAGACAGACAAACAACAGGGGGAACGCAAAGAAGAACAGACCTACTGGTGGTGTCCTCCAACCATCCACATTTTGTATTCACAAAAAAGGCCTAAAAAGGGACAATTCTGGGTAAGCAAAGGCCTAGCAACTTTGAAGTATTAGTGAGGATTTAGTGACAAGAATTAGAGAAATTGGGGAAACACAGACGATATGGGAGAAAAAAACTCTGTTTTGAGAAGAAAAAAAAACTGACAGTAACAGTTTGGACAATTTTATTAAAATCATGACTACAAACTCTAAAATACTGAACTCTAAAATACTGAACTCTAAAATACTGAACTCTAAAATACTGAACTCTAAAATACTGAACTCTAAAATACTGAGGGTTAAAAAAAAAAGTAATAATTTTCTGATTTTGGGTTTTACTGAAATTTTTCAGGAATCAAAAACCTAGTGAAAGTCAAACTGGCTCTAGCCCCAGAAAGCTACGGTCAGAAGTTTTGAAAGTCATGACAAAACAAAGACCTGTAACATTATAAGATATATTATGACACGATAGGGTTACATAACGGCAAGTGAAAAACAGCACAAACCAAGGAAGCTCCTCTCTTGGTGAGGGCCTCGCCTTTGACCAGGACTCGAACCCCTTGCACCAGACACGGCCAGATGTGGTGGTTGACCAGCGGTGCGGTGTACTCCGAGTCGTAGCTGCGGCGGTATCTGGGAGAAATAAGTGACAAGAACAAAAGAGTCACTTTTTGTGCGCAAATAAAAAGTGACAACACAACTAAAAAGTGACAAGAAAGAGGGAGAGAGTGACAGAGTGACAGAGAGAGAGGAAGAGAGAGGTAGAGAGGGAGAAAGAGAGAGAGAAGAAAGGGGGGGGGGGGCGAAAGGATCTGGATTGAAACTATGTTCTTTGTACTAACTTGTAAAGTGCATAGAGCACTTTCTCAGAGAAAATGCACAACATAAAAGTAATTTATTCTCATAATTATTAACAGTAGTGAAAAGTTTTTGCAAGATCCTAATTTTGATGGATCTGCCAACATCTTTCAGAACCAAAATAATGTTTCAGAGGGTTTGAACCATAAACCTACCAAAAAAACAAGTTTAAAAGGGTTTTTGCTCCACTTTTCCCAACACCCTTTCCCAACAAAACGACTTACTTGGTGTCATCAAAAAGCTCAGCGTCTGTTGCCACGGCGATGTCAAGTGGGTGTGCCAGGGCACTCATTTGCCATGCCAGTTTGACCGCCTCCCGGATGAATGGCTGGCAGACGGCGTAGCTCGTGTCGGGGGGCAGGAAGATCTTTGGGTTACGGTTCAGACCACGGATCACATCCTGAGAGAGAGAGAGAAGAAGGAAGGTATTGACAGAGTCGTTAGATGGGTGTTCGACTGAGTGCGCCTGTGTGTGTATGTGTGTGCGTGAGAGGGTAGGGGGGTTGTGTGTGTGTGTGTGGGTAGGTGTGTGTGTATGTGAGTGAGGGTATGCGTGTGTATGTGTGTGAGGATATATGTGTGTGTGTCTGTGAGAGTGTGTATGTGTGTATAAACATTTCAGCTAGGCTGTTTAGAACTGGGGAAAAAGCAAGACAGTCAAACTGACAGAAAGAACAGAGGGAAGAGAAAGGAGTAAGACCTACCAGTGGCATTCTCTAAACTGACAGTGCAGACTTTGTCTCTGCTTTTCATCATACAATTTCAATTCATTACATTTTAAAAAGTTAATAACCATAAGGCTTCTTAACTTTTCATGGAAATTTCTGTAATCAACTTCCTTAAGTTAAACACTTCATCATCAGCTGACTGCAGGAAAAAGGCTTTACAATAGATCAAACATCCAGTTATCCTCCAAACTTATTTTCACCTGTGCTTTAAACAAAGACCTTCTGGTCTGTACTTGGAGACAATATCAGGGACTGGGAATTCAGGATGAAGATCGCATTGAGATACACAGAGCTTGGATTTAAGAAAAGAATAAAGTATAGATTTCCAGACAGTACAACAAGTTCACTGAGCAAATGAGGCCATCAAAAAACTCAAAAAAGACACCAGCCAGAAACTTTCAGTCCCTAAATTCACCTCACTCAAGTCAGTTTCCCCCCTCCTAATTAAACATGTATATATTTAATATACAAGGGAGTTCACTTGTGGGTGGTTGGCGGGTGCTCTGGTGTGGTTTGCTTCTTCTCTCCTATGAAAAATCTATCTTCCTTATCTCCCCTTCTTCTTTTTTATGTTTGTTACTCTCTTGTAACACCTTTAATCTTCTAGCACTCATATGACCTTATGCAGTTGCGAGTGCCGTAAAACCTCTACTAAAACTAAAACAGGAGTTCATTTAAAGCAAAAAACTGCTGGACAGCTGGAGTTTTTACTTTAAAGAGGTTGCTTATATAGTCCACACAAAAATCAGGAGTTATACTTTCTTTCAATTTACGGCTGTTCTTGGAATTTATCACGTTCGATTTGAGAGGCCTCCACCATAATTTGTTTCCTGCCCCTTCTATAACCACTTATTTTTAGACATATCATCAACATGCTACGATACTGTCAAGGAGAGTGTGAAACATGTACAGAGACAAGCTAGCAGTGACCGTGTGACCATGTGTCGTATGAGCCTCACCGAGACCATCCCCGGCAGGTCGTAGAGGTCAATGTTGCGGTTGATGTAGTCCTGCACAGCCTCCTCCAGGGTATCTGGCCCGTAGTGAGTCTTTGCCAGGTTGGCTCGCGTCTTCATCTTGAAGCTGCGGAACTCCACTTTGGCAGTGTTGAAGGCTTCCTGTTACCATGAAAAGAGTTGAAAAGTATAATTTTAAATGTTGATGGTTTCACCGACACCCAAAAGGGTATAAGAGGAAGGTAAAAGTAAAAGTAAGTGTTTTTACACCCCCATTGACACAACTTAGATCATTTAGGAGGCAAGCTTCTGGCCCTGTTTGTCAGGGCTAAGCCATGCTGAAAGGGATACCACATCCAAGCAGAAAGACCAAGATACTCAATAAAATGTTCTCCCCATTCCAAAATCAAAGTCAGGTCCCCTGTGCGGAACAAAATTGAACATCAAAGAGTCGCATGGTTCTGTCACCGGATGAGA